ATAAAATAACAATAAAATAATAATAGCAATAAAACAATAGTAATAATGATAAAAATAATAATAATAATAATAATAATAATAATAATAATAGTAATAATAATAATGATAACAACAATAATAATAGTAAGAATAACATCAAGAATACCAAAATCGCCCAAGTTATCAGTGTGGGTATCCCACGTTACTGCTGCTGCTGTTATTGCTTCCGAGCACAGCTATGCCAAGTCCACTAATCTTGATCTGTACACCTCAGATTAATAATTACCTCCTATCCAACCTGGACACACTATCTCTTCGTGGGTTAACCGAACGGTCGTTTACTTTTAATGTATTTGTAAAAAACCATTTTATCTACATATTTTCCCATTTCTAAGCGGTAAAATTTTGGGGGCTAAAAACCGATCAACATGCACCTCTGCGAGCTGATAAAGTTGAATGGCTTTTTCGTGTTTATAGCTAAAGGATGGCTTTTTTGTGTTTATAGCTAAAGGATGAAATACAGACTGCTTCCCTACATGTCTATTCAAAAATATACGAGATGCAATGGCCTAGGACTCCTACCTCAGTGTATCTTAAAACCAGGAAAATGCATTCGAATTCTCCCCTTCCCCCCTTCTCCCCTCCCCTGCCTCCATCTCCTCCCTTCGGTACTTCATTCCAATTTCCGAGTCAATAAGTTCGGAATACCTCAAGTGTTAATTCCTCCAGTCGACGCCGCAATCGCTCCGTTTCCAGCTTCTCCTTCTCATACAGCGCCTTATAATCAATGTTTGCCTCTGAGCAATTAGTTGTTGTCCTGTTATTATGTACTGGGAATGGTGCTGAGCTTGTGGTCACCGTACTGCCACCAATATGCACCGAATTAGTCTGAAATAATTCTTTTTTTTAACATAAAATCGCCTAGCCAGTAAACCTCCAACAATCTATAAAAGGCAGAACAAAACTCATACCTGAGTGATAGACCTCGTTTTGTTAGTGAGCGGAGCTTGCGCATATGAAACAGTATAAGAGCCATCTTTGAAGCTATATGAAGTGGTAGCGATATTTGTGCTCGAAAAATCGCTGGATGGCTGAGTTAGGGTTGTTGTTGTTGCAGTAGAGGAGGGCGAATCGTTGCTGTTTTTCTGAATCGTTTCATCCGAAACTTCCTCGAACGTCTGAAGATCGTCAATTTGGATCGGCCCTGTTACACGACGTGATGGCCTCGGTGCCTACAACAAATAAAACTACAGAAAACTTCACAAAGGAACGGCAGGTAGTATAAAAAAGACAGGTAAAATTTGGAATCGGAAAAATAATTGGTTGTCGAAAAGATGCTTTAAAATATTTAGTTTAAAAAGATATAAAAGAGGTACTTTTTAATTATTTTTAATATTTCTTAACAACTAATATTAAGAGAAATTATTAATATTAATAATATCGTCTATTATTAATAATAATATTACTACTGTTCACATTTTTATTTGTTATATTATTTAAAAATATCAATATTTACTCAATATTACTTATTCTTTTCAACATTTCTTTTTTAAATTTTTATTTCTTTTATTTGATATTTCTTAATTCTTTTTAAAGACACTTTTTTAAAAAGATACTTTAAAAAAGATACTTTCAAAACATACCTACTTTACTTCATTTACATGCAAAAAACTTTTATTTAAAAGATGTTTCGGATCAAAAATAAGGCGCGAAAGCCTTTTGATGCAAAGAAAAAAAATTTTTTTTACCTGTGATCGTCGGCGAACAACAGAAAGCGCAGGACTGGGACTGTACATTTTTATGTCGTATTCCTTTCTGCCTTCTCCCACCCTTTTCTCGATTTCATCCGATGGAGTCGATTCCTACAACAAATCCTCCTTTTTTGAGTAAATTTTCGCCAACAGCAAACAGAATTGAGCAAAAAAACCCTCCCAAAGAAAGGTGAAGCGCTCAAACAATTGGCTTCAAGCCAATTTTCTTCAACAAAAATGACCTGAACAAGGGGTTATCAGGCTTCAAATCACGTTAAAAAAGAATGACATCTAATACGACAGGGAAGCCCCTGCGCAGCAGTTCTGCACAAAAAACAAAAAACTCTGATACCTGTAAATACTACTGTGAATAACCACAAATGGTTTGGATCAATACGGCTTTAGTTATGCGTTTTTTGCATAATATGCTTGCAGCACTTACCCGTCCACTACTTCTCACAGGCAGTTCTTTTCCTACATATTCCTTTCCCCATAACCTTTCAACATGACATACGGTTTTATGCCACATGAATTACCCAACTATCTTTTCTATCATAATTTATTAAACTAATCCCATCCTAAGTTAAAATTTTTGGGCTGTGGCTGTTCCACATTTTTCATGCTTTGTATCATTCATCCGCCTCAGGACTACGATTCGGCCTACCAACGGCCGCAACTTTTTTTAGCAACTTATCCAACCCTTGGTTTAAACTTTCTGCCACCGGCTGTCCAACATTTTGTTTTTTGCATCGATCATTTGTTTTAAGATTAAGATTCGGCCTAATAACGGCCGCAATTTGCTACTCAGCCACATTCACAGTACCCGAAGGGGCAACAGATTTTCAAAAACAGTCGCATTTTTTGTCTCGGAAAAAACTCTTTATATTGAGAGATTTCGAAATGCTTTGCAGCACCATAAGAACAGTAATCCGTAATTCTTTGGGACCGCTATCACGGCCTGATGACGAATTGATGAGGGACTCCAAGCTGATTTTAGTGTCATACGGGTTCATATAACACAAATTACCTCAAATTTAAAAACTGTAGATGTCTGACAACTGACAAAAAAAAAATTTGTAAAGAAGCAAAAACTTCATGATGACCGGATCTTTTCAACATGACTGATAAGTAATGGCCATTCGAAGGTCGAATCAGAAGTGGACGGTCCAAAAGCGGGTTAAAATGATAAAACTTTTGTGACCACTGGTAGGCCGAACAATAATTTCTGAAGTACTGGCCAGACCAAACCGTGAGAAATACCGGACGACCGAAATCCTCAAATTTTAATATGGGGTGGAATTAGTTAACTTTCATCGAGCCCCCTTCCCCTCCCCCCATGATATCACTGCACTTACTGCAGCTGTCAGCGAATAATCCTTATCAATTTATGCTGATGAAGATCATTGGTAAAACCCTAATAGCTAACAGGCTAGCAAAAAAAAAATCTCATGAATTACCGGTGAATGCTTAGCTTACCAAAGACGGAGAAGATGAAGAACTTTTCCCGTTCCAATGTGTTTCATCCTCCTTCTTTTCCTTTTCCTCACGGCGAACCGATAACGTTGTTGCTGCACGAAGTTGCTCACGAGTTACGCCTTGAGTCGACCTACAACCTGTTCTCCGTAAGCAAAGATTTCAGTGCATAAAAAGAAGCAAAAAAAATCATTAAAGCTTATGGGCCCCGACCAAAATTTCCAC